CCTTCCTAGTTTTCAGGCCACTTTCAAGCATGTGAGTGAGCCCTGAGTGGGTGGCCAGGTCTCTGGGGCAGTGGGCCCCTTTAGGAGACAGCTCTTTGGTGCTGTCAGCAGACCAGTGTGTGGCAGGGTGTCAGCTTCATGTTTTAGGTCTTTGGTGGCCTGTAGGGATGGCTTTTTGGCTCTGCTCAGCACAGTGTCCCTGGTTTCAGTGCTGGTGTGAATCCTATGAGGCCCCAGACCCACCTGCTTGTCTCCTCTGGGAACAAGATCTCTCCAGTTCGAGCCCCCAGGTTAAGGTGTTGCCCTTCCTATAGAGGAAACCAGGCTCTTCTGGAACATCTTTTCTGTTGTACACTTCGGCCCACACTGGCAAAGGACAGCAGAGAGCTGAGACCTCAAGGGTGCCCAGTGCTGCCAGCAACCCTCTGTTCCCTCCTGTTTGCCCTGAGCAAACTTGGTCTACAGGAAGTGGCAGGAAGCAGTTTTGGACTATGAGCCAAGGCCACCGACGTTCCAGAGCAACAAGCATGTGTGTGGGATGTGCCTGCCCTGGTGAGCTGCTTCCTCCTCAAGACTGCAGGGAAGAGAAGTCTGGCTGGAATACAGGATCATTTGTAATCTGGAATCTTCCAAGGCATGTGGCAATCTGGTTCACTGCTGGGAAGGTGGCCTGACAGCCAGAGCTTTTTGCACAATGCCAGACCTCTTGATCCTTCCAAATTCTTGGCCTAGGAGCCAAGATTTGTTAACCCTGCATTTGCGAGTCAACAAGTCCCTGAGGAGATGTCACCTGCTTCCCAACTGGGGGACAGGATGAAGCCTCTCTGCCTGAGGTGGCCTCTGTGTTCCTCTTAGCTCTCCAGCACAGCACAGCTCACTCAGCAGGACCACTTCCTCACCTGGCGTGAGGCCAGAGAAGGCCTCGGACACCTGTAGCTTCAGTGGGGCTGTTTCTGGTTGTTGAGAGGGTGGTGGGTGGCTCCACTACCTTTCAGGAATATCGCAGCCCCAAAGCAGCCTGGATGCTGCCAAGGCAGCCATGATCTCAGGGCGAGCTGCTCTCCCTAGGAGAGGGTTTCCCAAGAAGCGGAGTGGGAGACAAGATTATGTGCAGGAGATTGATTTGGGGAGATGATTCCAGAAATAGAAGGGTGTTGGGAAGGGATCAGATGTCACCCAGGGTGTGCCTTCACAGGGAACCCATGAAGTGAGTCTCAGAATCTCCTCTGAAGCATGGAAGGTGCCCCAGAGTCTCGACCCAGTCCGCACCATAAAAGCTTTGAGGCCTCAGTGGCCAGTGGCCACCTTCTCTGCAGTAGTCTGTTCACAGAGGGCTCGTACAGAAAGGAGACATCAGGGAAACGCAGTCCGCGGGCCCAAGTGCCCCAGGCTCACTTTATAGGAGCGAATGTTCACCACATGGAAGGAAATCCCACAATAGTTCTCCCATATTTCCAGTTGGTTTGAATTTGCAAACCAGCCCCGGGCTTCCTGGTGTCATCATGTTGGGGAATGATTGTGGGTTTCCACTTTCTAGTTCTGCTGCTTGGGTGTGATTGGGGAGGACCGTCTTCCTCAAGAGAACCTAGGGCTTTGTGATGAAATCTGGGCCGGGGGTCCAGAGCCTGGTTCATGTACAGGGCTGAAGGTGCTTTTCCTGGGTCTGAAAAAAATGCCTGCACCTCTTTTCATTGAAAACAGTTTCTAGCAGGTTTCCTTGGCGGTTTTTCCTGCCCTCATTTGAATCTATGGAAACCTTTCCAAGTCAAACTCAGGTAATTTCTTGTGTGTCTCTGAGTACTTTACCCAGAAGTGATGGGGTAAAGGAAGATACTTGTTTATTTGACGCAGTTATATTTTCTCAAACAATGTCAACTTTCTCTAAGAAATGTCACTGGGTTTTTTAGTTAATTGGCCCCACCCTTTCCAATCTGCAGGACCTATTCTGGTTTGTGTTTAGTGCGTTCATTGAATATAGTGAATGTTTCATTGCCCTGGAAGTTACTAAGGATTTCATTCTAAAGCACATTTCTAATCATATAAATGCTGTTGTACTTAGTATCATTCTTGAAAACATTTTTCATGTTGAAAAATACTGGGATCGTGTAGATGAAATCCAAGGTCCCGTGGCCACACCCCCACCCCAGTCCTCAAGGGCAGCTGTGGTTTCTCAGCTTGGAACGGGTCCTGCCTGAAGTTTTCCATGCACTTTGAATTGTTTTTGTGCCTTTTGAAATGTAATCCTGAAGCTATCCAACTGTAGAAAAGAACACGCTGCTGGAAGTTTAACGCTGACCTCACTTAATTTGAGTCTGTATTTCGTCCAATTTAAAATGCAAGAGACTGAGTGGCATTGTGATATCTCCATTACATTTCTTATCCTTTGTGCTTGCACTGAGAATTCCAGGTAGCGCCCCCGTTTATAAACTTCACATGCCCGTGATTAGCAGATAGGCAGCAGTGTGGTGGTGGTGGAGGTGGCCGAAGCTTCCTCTCCCTCACTTCTGATCCTGTTTTGGAAACCCCCCTGGTTTTGCAGCCACTCCTCACTTTGGAGAATAGCTCTGACGATTGGGGGCGGGGAGCGATGGTCAGTGGGGTGAGTGCTCACAGAGGGACCTTGATCCTCCCCTCCATCCTTGAGTTCTCTGGTCTCAGAGCTATCGCTGAGAGCTCTTCACACTCCTTGTCCACTGAAAGCTTAGTTCCCATGGGACCCTGAACCTTTATGTCAGACTTCTACATTCATTTTTGTTGACATAGGTTATTTACAAGCCCTTGGTTAACTTCTCAGTGAAATAACGTAGGTAGGTATATGTGGTAGTGCGTGCATGTGAAAACTTACTTAAAGGCTCATCATTTGGAGAAGTGTCGGCTGAGTGTCAACTGGAGAAAGTTCCCTCTCAGTCAGCAGGGAAATTACACAAAACCCTGGACCTCCAGCAATTCTTCTGGTTCTTGTAGCTTGTGAAGGCAGCTCAGGGGTGCTGATTAGAAAGGCTCTGCCTCTGCCCCTAGCCCTGTCTACAGGAAGCAGGGGGTGCCTCCCTCCTGTCTGTCCCCCTCACTGGGCACTTCCTGGAGCCCTGTCCTCCTGTCTCCAACACTCCCCCTCTTGGCTCCCACAGCCCTCTCCAGCCCAACACTCTTGTTACACACCTTCCCACACCCCCCACCCCGAGATCACTGAAGTCTTTCACTTCCCCTTCCCTGTGGCTGTTTTCAGTGTCAGGGTGAGCCCTAAGTTTGAGGGGTGTCCCCATCATAGGGGCAGATGCTTCCCAGCCCTCCCCAGCCTGCTGGCCTCCCTCACAGTCAGTGCTGACAGGCCCTAGGCTGTCCACTGCAGCACCCCTGGCCTCTCACCAGGGCCTTGGCTGCAGCGGGCAGAGGCTAACCCTCCCTGGGAAGATTGTTTGCTGTTAGATGTTCTGTGGTCCTTCCCTCCCGCCATCAGCCGGCTTTGGACCCAGGAAATGGGCGCCGATGGTCTAGTGAGTAGCTGGTAATGGGCAGACTCCCTGGGTGAGACCCACCCCACACTCAGCAGCACATTTCTCTCCTGGATCTCTGCCTACCGACTTAGAAACCAACCGCCCAGGCTCCGGAGCCCTGCTGCCCGGGCCCTGGGGCTGCCCAAGCCTTCCTGGCCACCTGGCGCCTCTTCCTCCCTGCCTAGAAGCCAAAGGCTCCAGGCACAGTGGCAGAGCTGTTGGCATGCACAGCAGTGCCACTTCCCCAAAGCCTTCCCCAAGGCCTGTGCTGGAAGCCCCTCCTGGGCAGTGGTCTGGGAACTGGCACAGCAGGTCCTGCAGTCTGCTTTTCCCCTGCACATTTCAAATCAGGCAGCCCTCCCCTCAAGGCGAGGCTGCCAGAAATGACCCCAGTGTGGGGCCCTGAAACTGCTCTGCTGGTAAATTCCAGCTGGCTTTGTAGAGGAGGAAGAGGGAGGCGCTGGAGAGAGTACGCTTTTGTTTTTAGAAAATTCCGGAAGGAGCAGGAGTGGGGTGTTGAGTGGGAACACAAAGGTTGTCAAGGGACTGGCATTTTATGAGGGGACCCGCTGAACGTCTACTGAGCAGGAGCAGAGGAAGGAAGGACAGGCTAGCCGCCTTGCTTCACTCGCTCTCCACACAGGTCAGGAGAGGAATGGGGGCCACAGCTAGGGCCCTCGTACTAGTCCCTGCAGGCTCCAGTCTGAGTCAGTCAGCCCAGGAAAGATGAAATGATTGGACAGCTGTTGAAACCACCTGCCCGCAAGCCCCAGAACGCAGGCTGCCCCTTGGGTGTCTTGTCTGGTTTGTTAGTTTGGGCAGAGGGGGACTGCACTTTCTGGATGAGAGGTCTTCCTGGGAAAGGTTACATCCCTGCACCAGGGCCCCTTCCAGGAGAGGGAGAGACCACCAGGACTTGTCCTACCCCTGCCCAGCACCTCAGCCCAGGAGCTGATTCCAGGGCCTCTGCTGTCTTTGTGTATACCAGAGGGGCCCAGTAAATGCTTGTTGAGGGAAGACTGAATACCCCCATGAGCATGTCTGTGCTGGCCCACAGGGTGGAGCCTCTTTGAAAAATTTCAGGCGGTGGGGGGGGGGCGGATCTGCCGGAGCCCCAGAACTCCAGGTCTTAGCTTGTGCATGCTGGCACCCAGTCTGCAGTCAGTCGATTTTGGCATTTGGGGGGCCAGAGGAGGCTTGAACATAGTTACACTGGGCACAACCCCACAGCACTCTCCCCTGCACCAAGGCCTGGGGTACAGCTCACTAGCTAAGGAATCACCCCCACAAGCACATGTGGGTCCTGGCAGCAAGGGAGGGCTGGGGAGCCCAGCTACTGCTGTGGGTGTAGCAGAGCCATGGGTCCTCGGGGTCAGAGCCCCAAGCAGGCGTCCAAGCCCCTGAGGCAGCGGAGTCCCCACCAGCTGCACAGTGGCTGCCGTGTACCCCACTGCAAGGAGACCACCTGTTCCTGAACCCTAAGGTGAGTATTCCCTTGACTTTCAGGGAGAAGCAACTACCGTGGCCTTGCAGGAGACAGATCCTGAGCTGTCCCCAGAGGAGAGGAGGATCCAAGAACGGAAGCTGAAGAAGGAACGGAAGAAAGAGCAAAAGAAGCGCCTGCGGGAGGCTGGTCTCACGGCCCAGACCCCACCGGCCCAGCGCTCCGGGGCGCAACTGGCGCTAGACTACCTCTGTGGGTGAGAAGTTACCCTGGGGGGGCTGGCTGGGCTGCTCCAGGGGCCTTGGGGCCTGCAGGGGAGGCTCAGCAGTGACATCAGGGGACCTGGTTCCAGTCCACTCCCCTGGCATCTGGCGTCGTGCTCACACTGCAGCAGTGGCTCCGCCCGTGGGCACAGCTGGCGACACCAGCACAGCACCGGCTCTCCACGGCAGGGACCAGCCGCGTCTGCACTGACCAGTCTCCCGTGGGGTCTGTGTCCTCCTGCGGTGCCACAAACAGGCTTCACCAGGACAGCATCTTATAGTGTGACTCAGGCTTAAGTGGTTCTGGGGCTTCCCCGGGCGCCAGCTTCAGGACCGGGCCCTGCCCGACTCTGAGGCGGCCCCTCTTGCAAGAGTCCTGTTTACAAGTGGCCGTAGACTCCAGGGAGGGCAGTGCCAGGCCAAGATGCTGCTCTCAGAGTTTATGTTCTGCGTGGAAGAGAGCTAGAAGGCGAATTAGAACAAGGGAGCCCCTGGAGAGAAATGCAGGTGGGGAAGAGGTGGACATGCCAGGGACCTTGTCATTTTAGTTCTGGAAAACGTGACACCTGGGTGCAGACTGTGGACCTAAAGAGAGCAGCCAGGGAGGCAGGAGGGGCCCAGGAGGGGGGAGTAAGGTCCATGCAGGGACCTGGAGGGTGGGCCCAGTAGGCCGCTGAAACAGTGACTGAGAAGAATGGAAGGCTGAGCTGGATAGAGAAGATGGGGGCACACGGTAGCACAGGCTTATCAGCAGTTAAACCTGTGCCTCATTAAAGAGAAAAGCGTGTATAGGACGAAGGCAGGAAGCTTCGGCTTCCACACCACCTGAAGCTTTGAGGTGGGTACAGTGTGGTTACAGGGCCCTAGGTGATGTGGGCTGCCCCCGGCAGGAGACCAGCACCCCACCCCGGGCCACTTCTTGGTGGAGGCTGGGGGGCTGTCATGGTCAGGGCAGGTGGGGACTTTGGCCAAATGGAACCCCCACTAGGAAGTAAAGACTGGCCCCCTTTCCTTGCTGTGTGACATGGAGCCAGTTAGCACAGAGCCTCATCCAGGAGAGGGGGTGAAACTCACATTCAGTCAGGGCCATGGGGCCAGGCATAGGACGTGACACATGTCGACGGCTTGAAACCCATGGGCTGGCTCTCTGGCTCCTGAGATCACTATCCAGGGTCTACAGACAGTAGGCCCCAACTCATGGAGTCAGGGCCAGGTGCCTGCTGTGGGGAGCCAAGGGGAGACAAGGGCCATCCCACAGACCACCCTGAGCCCAGTGAAACACCACCCTTCCTGAGTAGAAGCCCGTTCCCACCCCCACAGAGCCGAAGAGCCCCACCGTGTGAGCTGGGGATACCTCTGAGAAGAGGGCAGCGAGGCAGTGGGACTGTGTGCAGACCTGCCTGTGGGGGCATTGCTCCAGCCTTGGAGAGCCAGTGAGCTGGTGAAGCAACCAGGGACCCCATACCAGACTCAGCCCTCCACTGTGGCCTGGCTCACCCCAACCCCTGACTTGAAAGGCCCAGATGTCTTCAACAGGGTTCAGGAGATTCTTCTGGGGCTCCCTGGCCAGCGGCCGGATGCAAGCCTGAGAGGGCAGGGTCATCCAGGGTGTTCCAAGTGAGGAGGATGTACCTGGTTGTCCTCTGGTTTGGGTGCGGCTCACCCCTGGTTAACAGTTTTTGTAAGGTGACACCTTCTAGACACTTGCGGTTTTAAGCTGGCTCCTAAATGGTCTCCACACCAGAGGCTCATCTCCTTCATTTATGCTGGACAGAGGAGGAATGCTCTTTCTTAAAACCAGAGGTTAGCAGGCTTCTACTTCACACCAGTTGATAAATGCCGGGGGAGGCCCCTTTCTCTGAGGACACAGGCGTCACCTGACGAGGGCCCTTTCCTCCCAGCAAACCCAGGCAAAGGAGAAAGAGGGTCATGTCAGGAGTCTGTACAGAGTCTGCAGCTGCTCTGGGAAGATGGGCGGAGGGCATGCGCTGACTTACCCTCACAAGGCTGCAGTTCATCCACTCTGGAGAGTAACATTCCGGGTGAAGGTGAGAGTGTGGCTCCCCCAGGGGAGTTAGGGTGGTTCCCCTCCACTCTAAGTCCCCAGGGCTGAGACTAGAACCTCTCCATATGGGTGTGAGGAGGAGAGAGCAGCCTCCCAAAATGACCCGCCCACTCATTTATGGCGGGCACCAGGTATTGTTACCTTCATGCTCACCTGTCCCCTCTGCGTGAATGCCGAGTGAGCAGCTGGCTGTGTCCTAGCACGCAGTTGAGGGGTTGAGACTGGTCACACGCTGGCCGGACCACTGTCACCGTGGGGGCTGTGCCCAGCAGACAGTGGGTGCTTCTGGAATAGTCACTGAACCCACACATCAGAACTTCAAAGTCAAGGGTTGTAAAGCACTGCGCCTTCATTCAGGTGCAGGTGTGGGGGCAGGCGCCAGTGTGCGGAGGTGAGGTGTCCTCCTAGCACGGGGTTCTGAGCCCTCGGCTCTGCGTCTGCTGCCTCAGGCTACAGAGGGTCCCCCGAGCCTACACCCTCCCCCACCGGCCCACCTAGAAGAGCTCACCAGGCCGGTCAGTGCAGACAGACCCGCTGCCCCTGGGCTGCCCCTGATGAGTGTCATGTCCTTGCTTCCCAGCTGGGCCCAGAAGTGCAAGAACTGGAAATTTCAGAAGACGAGGCAGACCTGGCTCCTGCTGAACATGTACAACAGTGACAAGGTCTGTGCGGGGGGGCAGGAAATGTCTGTGCACACGAGGTGTGGGGGTGTCCTAGGGGATGAGGTCTGCATGCTGGGGTGGGGGCGCAGGCGGGAAGGTCTCTGCACACTCAGGAGATGAGGCAGGGTCAGGTCTCAGCTCCTCACCCCCAGCAGCCTGGCCTGGTCAAGCTTACCAAAGAGGCCACAGTATGTGTGGTGGAAGCCGGCACGACCCTCAGTTTTACAGAAGTGAAATCCAGACTCAGATTTCAGGTAGTCCTGAAACCCAGGACTAGCTGGAGGCAGGGGAGCAAAAGCTCCGGCCAGCCTGGACAGCCTTTCAGGTTGTCCAACACCTGGGCGACGTCGCATCACCCCCGAACAGCCCAGAGCACAATCCCTGTAGACAGCCGCCCCAGCACCTCGGAATCAGCCAAACCCGCAGTCACTTGTCCGGAGCCGCCCCGGCCGGACCCAGGCGCCCCGCCATGGAGAGGCAGCGCGCTCCCAGCATGGCGCCACAGCGGCACACCGCGAAGGTCTGGCGTGGCGCGACCTGTGGTTCCGGTGGTGTCACCGCAACGTCTGTGAAGCCACCTTTGCCGTTAGTGATCAGTGTGCGCCCCTGGAGCTGCTTTGAAGCCACGCAAGCACCAGTCTCTTGTCAGACTTTCACCCACTGCGACTTTCACACCCCTTGGTGTGTCTTCTCTGCTCGTTTCCCCGGAGCAGGCCTGATTTCACGAAGCCTGATCGCTCTGTTTTTCCTTTGGCTGCTGTGGCCTTTGGTGTCACACCTAAGAAATCATTGCCTGATTCAAGGTCATGAGTCACGCCTGGGTTTTCTGAAGGCATTTGTAGTTGCAGATCTATTTAGGCCTTTGGACAATTCCGAGTTCATCTTGTGTGTGGTATGCATAGGTTACTTCTGCCTGTGGACATCCCAGTGGTCCCGTGGTCCCAGCACCGTCTAGTGAAGGCCCACTGTTTCTCCAGCTGGGGCTCTGGCCACCCTGTTGCATTCGAACACCCTACAGTTTATTACTCAGCCTGAATAAATTTATTCAGAGATAAATGTATTCTTTATCTCACCGTCCCTGCCGGAACGTGAGCCCCCTGAGAAGGGGGCTTGTCGGCTTCACTCACCTCTGGACCCTGGGCCTGACAGGTTGAGAAAGTGCAGCAGAGATCCCTCAGGGGGCCTCCTGTGCCTTCAGAGCCACCCTGAAAAACGGCGCACATCTCTGAAAGCCAAAGACAGGGTCTGATGGGACCCAGTGGCTTTCCAGTTGCTGTTTTGGAAATGGATAAATGAGGGGATGGGAGGAAGGGTGGCTGAAGAGGAAGAGGAAGTGGACGAGGGAGTGATGAAGGAGGGGTGCATAGGCGTGAGCCCGTGAGCCAGAGGAGTATCTCACATAGGGCCTGGCAGGCAGCGGTTAGCTCTGGAACACAGACAGCTCGGGGGTCGGGGGGGATGGCTGTGGGGGAGGGCGCTAGAAAGGACGGGAAAGGCTATGCTGGCTGTTTTTGGGTCTAAAGTCCTGGGGCGTCTGTGTCCTGATAAGAAGTCCCTCCTCCTTTCAGCAAATATTTTCTGGTCCATGTGCTCAGCGAGGTGGGGGTAGTGAGCAGGGCTGGGGCCTTGGCCAGGGGCTGGGAGAGCCTGAGGGGCTTTGCGCCTGGTCTTTGGGGTGCTGTTCCGCCTTTCTTCTAAGGGAGCCAGTTGGAATAGAACCTGCTGTGAGGGTGCTCTTCAGACTGCTGGTGCAAGCCTCTGTGGTCCTGGCCGCCCTTGCATGGCGGCCATGACCCTCCGCTGGACAGAGGTACTGGAGTTACTTCCTGGACCGTAGGGTGGCCCCCCTCCTTGCCACTGCTGCCTCCCTTCGCACCACACCCGCCTCAGACTCACAGTTCCCCGCCCAGAGTAAATGTGGAGCTCCGCCTAGAGATAGGAGAGCTGTGGGCTTGCCCCACCCCACCCACCTCCCAGGAGCCTGGCTCTCTGAGTGGCAACTCAGATTTTCAGGACCTTCTCCATACAACCCAGACTCTGACCAGCACCCTTTGGATAAGACAGCCTAAACCTGCGGTCCCTCCCAGCTCGTGCGGGGAGACCCTGCCGTGAGTGGCCCCTGCGCCTCGGCAGCAGTAACTGGGCGCTGTGACCACACAGCCTCCCTCCCGTTCCAGCTCCCTGCTGCTCCAGGGCAGGGATGGGGCCAGCTGGTGGGGCCAGGCAGCAGATCTGTCCTGGACACCCTGCTTCCTGCCACAAGTTCTTATCTTTGGCCTGTGCCCTCTGCCTCCTGACCCTCTCCTGTGGTCCTGGGCCTGCTCCCTTCAGAGCATCTGGCCACCGTGGAGGAGTGGTCATCCTGGTCTCAGCTATGTATGCTCACGCCTTGGCCTCTGTGAGTGTCTCCAGGGAGAGTCGGGACGCCCATCTGGATCCTGTGATGCAGCTGCCTGTGACTGCGGAGGCCATCACCAGTCCAAGGCTGCTCTGGTGGTCTGATGCATGCACTGCCCAGCCTTCCCCTGTCCTTGTTTGAGAAAACTGAGCTGGTGCCTGCCTGCAGCTGGAGCCTTGCCTCCATATTCTCAGGCAAAGGCAAACCCCGCCTGACCTCCTGGCGGCCGCTGCCTGTGCAGTGTGCACAGCTATGTGCACGTATGCTTCTGTGCACTGAGTGTTCAGAAGCGTTTCATAAGGTTGGGTTTCTCAGGGTGACGAAGGTCTGGAAGCAAAACCCACAGCTGGGATGCCCTTGGCCACCTCACTGCCCCATTATGTCAACACTGGAGGATGCCAGACTAGTGGGTGGTCTGTGTGTGTGCCGCTGGGGTGCAGAGGATGAACAGGATGATGCTGTCTCTCATTGTTCCTGCAGACACAGCAGGCGGGACCGTGCCCATGGGTGCTCCCTGGGCCCTGACTCACTGAACCAAAGTGTCCAGGACAGACCCCTGACTGCTCTTCTGGATTGCCCTTCCTGCGCTGGGCCACGTGCCAGGACCCAGAATAGCCACAGTCTTAAAATAGAAGAACAGAGTTAGAGTCTCACACTTCCCAGGTTCAAAAAGCCAGCGTAAAGCTATGGTATTCAAAACAGTGGGGACTGACAGAAAGAGACACACAGACCCAGTGAGCACAATAGAGAGCCCAGAAGTAAAGCCTCGCATTCACGTGAGTTGGTCTTCCCATTGGGAAGCAAGACTGTCCAGTGTTCAGAAGAGTCCTCAACAAATAGTGCTAGGGCAGCTGGTCACCCATACATGCAGGACTGAAGGTAGACCTCTACCTCACATTGTAAGGAGAAGGTAACTCACAATAGTCACACACCTAGGTATAAAAGCTAAAACTAAATCTCTGAGAAGAAAATACAGGCGTGCATTTCATGGCCTCAAGTCAGACAGTAGCATCTCAAATACGACTCTAAAAGTACAAGTGACAAAAGAAAACAAGTAGGATTTCTTCAGGATTAAAAACTGTGCTGCCAGCATTACCATCAAGAAAGTGGGGTGACAGATCCCTATAATGGGAAAGATATTTATAAATCATGTATCTAATAAGGAGCTAATGTCCTGAATATATAAAGAACTCTGCTAAACAATAAAAGGACTCAGCCCAATTTTCAAAAGCAAAGGGTCTGAATAGACATTTCTCCAAAGAAGATATAAAAATGCCAAGTAAGCTTATGAAAAGACACTCAAGCCACAACAAGAGGCTCTCACACCCACCAGGATGACCAGAGCAGAAAGACAGATAATAAGTTTTGATGTGGACGGGAAGCTTTTTTTTCTCTGAATATACTTCTTCTTTATAGATCTATTTATGTATACATATAAGAACTGGGGTACAGGCCAGAGGTTTTTGTCAGGGGAGCTGTGAGAAGATCCACCAGAGATACAGTAGGGAACAGAACAGGCAAATTGATGGAAACACACTGCTGAGAGGAGCAGCAGGAGAAGCAGAAGAGGTCTGCTGCACCATGTGGGTCAGCTCCCTGGCCAGGGATCGAATTGTGCTGCAGTGGCTGAGGACAGCTTCATAGTGCTGCGCTTTAACACCTTGTGCCACCAGGACCCTGAATATACTTTTTATGACAACCACCTCTTATTTTATAAATGCAATATATACCTTCTTGCTTGAGGATATTAATTTTGGTGATTCACTTCTCCTTTATAACCTCCCTGTTTCATCCAGTTGCTTTTGGTTTGTTCTTTGGCATCTGGTTTCAAAGATAGAGACTTTCTTCAGGTGTCTTGGTGCCCAGTGGGGGCCCCTCACATTTAGCAGGGGCCTAAAAAACTGGCAACTCTGTGCTCCAGGTAGGTTGATGGACTGGCTGACCTTCAGATAACCCAATTCAGAATGTTCAGTCTTTTCTCTCATAGTCCTCAGATTTCAGAATAGAATTTTCTAATCTCTTGCCACAGGAAAGAGCCTTGGGCCCAACATTCCAGAAGTCAGTGAGGAAAGGCAATTGGAAAGACTCGCCATCAGAAGTCAACCCCCTTATTGCCTCGATTTTCAGACTACTGTTCCTTCTCTTTGCTGCACGAGGTCTACCCAGACTGGGGTCCGGCCTGCAGGTCTTAATGATGAGGGACAGAGGACAGACCTTTTGTTGCCTACAGTAGTTTAGTATTTTTTTTATTGAGATATAATTAATTTACTATTTTTCACCATTTTACTTTTTTTTTTAAGATTTATTTATTTATGCATATAGAACTAGGGTACAGGCCAGAGGTGCAGGGTCAGTGAGAGGCTTCAGCAGAGACAGAGTGGGGAGCAGAACAGGCAGATCGACGAAGTACACTGCTGAGGGTAGCAGCAGGCAGTCAGGAGAGGTCTGCCTCGCCTTGTGGGTCACCTCCGGGGCGGGCGGGGATCGAACTCATGCTGAAGTGGGTTTAGATTCTTAGTGCTGCGCTTTAACCCAATTCACCACCAGGGAGGGCCCCACCATTTTTCTTTTTTTTTTTTTTTTACAAAGTACATTTATCTGGGTTTTTTTTAAAGCTGTGTTTTGCTTTGGTGTCATACCTAAGAAGTCATTGCCTAATCCAAGATCGGGAAGATTTGCTCCTGTGTTTCTTCTAAGAGTTATTTAGTTTTAGTGCTTTCTTACATGCCTTCAGTCCATTTTGACTTAACACGTGAATGTGGTATGGGGGGTGGTATACAGCTGTCCAGTTGCTCCAGCATCATTGGTGAGAAGACGGTTTTTCTCCACCCAATGACCTGACACCACCCTTGTTGGAAATCATTTAGCCATAGAGACGAGGGTTTAATTCTAGACGGCTCGATCTGCCCCAGGACCTGTAAGTCTGCCCTTATGCCAGTGGCCCTCTCTCAACTACTGCAGCTTTGAGACAGATTCTGAACGGGGGGCATGTGCCTCCCTATTTTTATCTTAAACCTGAGCAATCATCTGATTTATAAAAAGATACAAACCGTTCTTAAATGATACAAAATACAGTTTTGAAAACGTCAAAGAATGAGTGTCTTTAGCCATACTCAGCTCACACCAAAGGGAAGAAAGAAGTAAGTGGGGTAACAGTTCATGTTATTGCATGTTGATGAATTGGCAACAGGAGAAAGCTGGTTCTGAAAGAACTTCGTGCTCCGAGAATTAGAACCAACGGGCCGCGTCCTCCCCTGGCATCAACTCGTTGTTCACACCTGTGCTAGAAATGTACAGATGGGAACTCCAGGGGTCTTCTAGATTCTTCCTTTAAGATCAGTCACCTACGGGCACAAAGTAATACTGGTGCTGCGCTGCTGTGTGCTAGGCAGTCAGCCGCGTAGGTTCCTTTATGTGTACATGGAAAGCTTCAAATCTCGGGTCCTTGGTGACCCTGAGAACCACTAGATGCTTCCACCACAAATCCTCAGTTTCAGCCATTAAACAGTACAAGGGACACAGTTCACCACTGGCTGCTTTTGGACGGGAAGTGGTGAGGGCGCCCTGCTGCACATTCTTTCAGAAGCATGAGCAGGAAGGGTACTGGGTAAAGGCTCCCTTAGGTGCATGGGATCTGTGTTTTCTTCCTTTCTAGGAGCTATGTAGCGGGTTTCTATCCTCACTCTTACCGGAATTTTGGGGTGGGTGGGGGGGGTCATCTGCACTATCATTTGGTTTCTCAGCTTGGGCCTCACTGTCCCTGCTGGACTCCAGCAGGCTGGCCCCTCCCCTGTCCCTCTGCCCCTGTCCTGTCCTCCAGTAGGACAGAGTGGGAGCAGGTGTGTGCCCAGAGGCTGGTGTGGTGCCCTCTGCTGCCCGGTTTCCTGAGTTTCTCAGGCCTTGGCAGGAGGTCCCTGTGGCAAGGACAACCCCCTTTCAGGCACAGGAGCGAGACCCACAACACTGGCTGCTGTGCCGGAAGCCCTGGGCCTCACGCCACAAAAATCTTGTTTTCCATCAGGCTCTCCATGCCACCCCTTTCTGGCCCTGACCCACTTGCTTCTTCTCCTCCCTCCCTGGGCAGGTTCCCAACGAGCACTTCTCCACCCTGCTGGCCTACCTGGAGGGGCTGAAGGGCCAGGCCCGAGAGCTGACTGTGCAGAAGGCTGAAGCCATGATGCAGGAGCTGGACGAAGAGGGTGCTGGCGACCCGGAGCCCCCGCTGCAGGAGAAGATGCAGCGTGTCCGGCAGGTGCTGCAGCTGCTCTCCTAGGGCAGCCAGCCGGCAAGGCCACAGCTGCTGCAGTGCCTGGCGGCCCGCGCCTCTCAGGACCCAGCTTGAATGCCTTCTTCCAGCAGTGGCCAGTGGCCTGGGGGCCTCCAGGTTCAAAGTCTTGTTCCCCCTGGTCACCAGGCCCAGGAAGGACTGCTTTTCTGACCTTCCTATGTACAGATCATGTTGGCTTCGATACCTTCACTGCAGCTCACAGTCCTGCCCCAGGGGCCTTCCAGCCCTTGAGGAAACTGCTTTCTGAGGGAAATGTCTCTTTCTACCAGGGATGCCTTAATGATTGATCAGCGGCTGACCCTCCCCACCCTCTGCAGTCCTTACGTGCTGAGGTGCGAGGGTCCCCAGAATTTGGGCCCTGTGCCAGAGGGCCCTGACTGGCTTGTCTTCTTGGCTCAGCAACCACCTGGGGCCATTCCGCAGCCTCGCTGCCCGTGACAGGGAACCTCGGCTGTGTTTTCAATAAATGGGAGCCTGGGTTGGCTGAGGCGCTTGTTCTGTGCAGTTCGTTCTCATTTGCCTGCAGACTACGTAGCGCTTTTCCTGAGGGGGAGCGTGTGTCGGGCAGGAGGCCACCCACAGCTGTGGGCTCCCTGGAGCTGCCCGGGCCAGCGCCTCCCACACATTCTGGCTGTGGGCTGACTGGCCACTCACTCACAGACCTGCCACTTCCAAGTATTGGCAGCAAGCATGCTCCAGCCCGGAAATGCCAGCTCTCTGCACAAAAATAGGCAAACACATGGGCCCAGGGCTCTGACTGCACCCGGGGAACAGTGGTCTTCGCTCGTCACCCAGCGGCCAGGGCCTGGGCCACGTTCAGGCAGCAGGCCTTCAGGAGGGGGACCTACATCATAAGATGGGGTTTAAAACTCGTCCTTGGGGTCTTTGACACCTCTCCCCTGAACTCAGGCCCCTTCCAGTGTGGCACGAGGCACCAGTGCCACTCGACCCTTGGCACACTCATCCTGGGGGACCCCATATGGCACTGAGGCGGTGGCAGGTCCTCAGATGGCCGCACTGTGTGCCCCTACTGCCCCCTAGCGCAGTCAGTGTTACTGGGGGGCAGTGGGCGATCAGAGCAGTGTGCACCTTGGTCAGAGCACAGCCTAACATTCACTGCAACGCTAACGACGTGGCACAGGCCCTCTGTTCTGGAACAAGGGCTCAGGCTTCCCCAGCCTGGCTGGGCCTCCCTGACGGTCCCCAGGGGTGCCACCCCAGCACAGTAGCCCTAGCCCCCTTGCTTTGTGACCCACCATTATCTGCTGTTACTTTAGCTCCAGGGACCATGAAACATTTTGTGGAGAGTTGCTTCTGGTGAGGCCCCTGAGATGAGTGGTCTGAGCTCGAGAGCTGGACCCTGGTCTAGGGGGGCTGGGCCGATCCCTCCAGCTTCTTGCCTCTAAGCACAAACTCCCAGGATAACACATACACAGCCTGTGAACACAGGTGCTGCTGTATGGTTGCTGGCCGACCCCATCTCCCACTGCCGGTGCAGCTCAAAGCCTCTTCTGTGTGGGAGTGACTGGACAGCTGCTTCTTTGGCCCTGGGAAGGCCACTGGAGACAGAGCAACGAGGGCCGCTGAGGGTGGAGGAGCCACTGGAGATCTCTGCCCCTGACATGTGCAGCCCTGGGTGTGTGCCTGTGCCTGACCCTATGGGTAGCAGCAACAGTGGGGGTGGGGGGGACTCTGCTGACTTCCCAGTCCCCAGAAGAATGTCTCCTGTTGGGATGGAGCCTGGTGTTCCATCAGGTGAGTGCATAAACAGCACTTTGTGAAGCAGGAGTCAGTGCAAGTCTGTGAAGTGGGTCAGTAACCAGCCAGGGCGTCCTGGCTCCGTGCATAGTCTGCAGACACTGGACTGGTCAGGGTACCGCCTTGCTGTACCCTGTGAAGCATCTTAAAAAGACACGGAGAAAGGCAGACCAAAGCTCCACAAGATGCAAGGAACGTCCTTGTGCAGGAATCAGCGTCAAGAACCATGGGTCTGTGTTCCCGGCACCCAAACCAAAAAGAGAAAGTTCTTGTTTCTTGGAGAAAGTTTCCGGAGAGCTGAAATCACCCCCTCACTTGAGCACAGACCCCCCTAGACACCAGCTCAAGGAGGGTTCTTCTCCCCAGGAGATCCTGTCAGCACCAAGTCCAGTTCCCTTGGCAAGGGGAGATGCTGCAGACGTGTCCTCTGGGGCAGAACTCGGGAACTAGGCCGCTCCTGGCCGTGCCCACGCCAGCCAGACGTGGCGCTCTGATGAGACCCCTTGCTGGCAATAGCTAACATTTTTCCTTTCAACACCCCTCCCCAACTGGAAAGCACCCGTCTGTCCATCAGAAGACGAAGGGATAAAGTGAGCACTACTGGGAAATAAAAGCAGTGAACTGCTGACCCAGGAGGCATCCAGGCTGGAGCTCAAAAGCCGCGTGCTGAGTGAAAGGATAGTCGCCTGAGAGCATGTGAGGGGCCCCGCATGAAGGAGACCCTGTAAGCAAGCTGCTCCTGATGACAGGGGCTGGGGCCAGGGGGCGCAGACTTGGGGGCCAACGTCTCATTTAATGGGTGTGCTGCTGAGCTCTCGCCACGCTGCTCGCGCAAGAGGTTGTTACTAACAGCACAAAGCTGAGTGAGGAATCCGGTCCCCAGAGGGGACCCCGGCAAATTCTTCCCACAAAGCTGTGGCCAAGCACTTCGCTCCGGAAAATACATGTTAAAATAGCATTTTATGTTCCAAAGGCACGTTGTTGCCTTCATGTCATTCTCATTCCAGCTCTGTGAGCCCCTTGTAGTCAGGAGTGCTGTTAGGAAGAGGGGGGGTTCTCAGTGGGGCCGCGGGGGGTGGGGGCGGTAAGAAGCTGCTAGGCCCTGTCGAGGCACAGTCCTGCAGAGGACGACACGCCTGCCCGACCATCCTGAGGAAGGAGCCTTCGCCGTGGACATGTGCCTGTGTCCCCAGCCAGGCAAAGGAGGCATCTTTTACCTCGTTACTCGGCACAGCTCTTTCCCTCTGTTCGGGCAGCATCAGAGCTGGATCTGTCTTTCTATAAGCACATATTCTGCCTCACATTCTTCTAACTTTGTATTGCTTCTCCAGCTAGAAAGGCGGGTGTCGGGGGGAAGGGAGCTGCCCTGCCCCCTGACAGGAGGGTGGCTGAGAGCAGAGGTGTTACAGGGCAGCCCAGAGCAGACTGGGCTGTCTGTCTGTGGGGCCTCACCTGCGCGCTCACAATTCGGTTACACTGCAGGCACACACAAAAGGGTCAATAACGGGGTTATTTACAAAAGGGGAAAGGAATAGGAAACAACCCAGGGAAAGAGAGCGGGATACAACGTCACTGGAATACCTTACAGCTAGGCTGACTGAACACACCGAGTCATGCAGTCCGGAGAGCTGCTTCCCGAGCGAGGGAGCGAGGGAGAGAAGCAGTCGTGCCCTATTTATCCCCCAGATGTCCCAGAATTCCTTCTAGCTCCGCCCTTGGGTCCTCGCAGTTCTCTCCCTGGTGCTGCTGGGAGTTGTAGTTTCCAGTCACTGGAGTAGGGGGTAGGGTCCAGAGAGCTGGAGTAGGGGGTGGAGGCCACAAGACTCTGCAGAGTTCCTTTAGGACCCTTTAGGACATCCTTCCCCTTAACAGAGGGACCCCGAGGGCCTGCCCCGACATGCTCTTCAGCCCTGCATGTGTATCTGTGCGGGTACATGTGTGTGCTCATGCCCACGTGCGTCTACACCCCGCGGGTAGCAGTTTCTCTGGTGGCTCCACCGGCTTCCCAGAAGAATGTCTCCCCTCGGAGCCTCATGGGCCTTTGAGCTGAGGCCACCGCAGCCTGTGTTTGTTCAGCAGAGTTTGCTTATGGTTTGGGGGCTGTGTGGTTTTGTTTTCCTTTGACTTAGGAGAGATAATGCAAGGCACATGCGGTGTGGCGGGGGGCCAGCCCTGGGGCCCGTGGCAGACCCGAGAAGCCCCAGAAACTCCCTGCCCTCCTGTGTCTGCAGGATGCAGAAACAGACATTAGGGAGCCCGTCGTCTCACAGCATCTGGGGACCCTCGGGTGGACTGGCAGAGGCACCCCCAGAAGCTGTGCAGGGTGGAGGCTGAGCTCACTGGAGGTGCAGCCAGCAGGAGACAGCATCCAGGACTTGGAAGCTATCGTCTTGGGATGAATGGATAAACACAACATGACCCATCCACACAAGGGCAGATCAGTCAGCCTTAAAAGGAAGAGAATGCCACTGCTACGTTCTGGATGGCATTTAGGACATATGCCGGGTGAAATAAGCCAGACACCGAAGGACAAGCAGGGTGTGATCCCCCTTATGTGGGGTCCTTAGAGCTGTCAGAGCCACGGAGGCAGAAAGTGGATGGTGGGTGCCAGAGGCTGGAGAGGAGCAGGACAGAGCTTTGGGTCCGAAGATGAGCACCTTCTGGAGATGGATGGTGCGGATGACGGCCGCCCGTGCACATATTAATGCCCAAATGGATGCTTCGAAAGGGTAAGAGGGTAAATTTTATGCATGTAAGTACATAAATGATAAGATATAACACAATATAGAATAAGAAAGATACAAACACAGAAACCACCCAAAACATCTAGGTGATTGAAACAGAACTGACAGGTGACCCCTCAACACCCAGTCTGGGCATCTGACCCCCTGAAGTTCTGAGCAACTGGCTTGTGGCTGTGGGGTGGGCCCTCATGTGGAGGGCAGGCAGCCCTGGAATATGTGGGGTACCCCATACCCCACTTCTCCATACTGGTGAGTTCCGTGCAGCTCTGACAGCTGCTCCCTCTTTTTAGTAAATAATCTTCTCTCACTTGAGGATGGTGTGTTGATACTGCCTCGTTTACAGAGGGCCTGGCTATATCCCCTGTGGACAGGCTGAGACCTCAGCCTCAGTCTCTCCATGTAAGATGAGGTAAGAGGTGGTGAGTCAGGTGGTAGAGTGGTAGGTATATGTTCATCTTGGTTTTGTGTGTCAGAAATCACACAACTTCAGGTTGTCACATGATTTTTGCTTGTCAACCTCAAGCAGAGAGAGAATCAGGGCCTCCAGCTAGTCTTGAAGCCCAAGTCCCTGCTCCCCTCTGGGAGCACAAACACCCAGCCCAGCCTGCCTCAGGTTTCTAAGTCTGGACTGTGGTGTCTGTCCACTGGGGTGGCAGGGGCCCCAGAAGCAGCTGGGATGGGGGAGCCCCGGACCAGGTGACCAACATACATGTGCCTGCCACTCGCTCACTAGGGCATCAGGCTGTGGTCACCCTGTGGCAGAGTCCAGAACCTGAGGTCTCACAGCCTTCCTCGATGGGCCACCAGGACACTGAAGTCATTCCGTGGACCTCCCGCTCTGCCCAGCCCTGCCAGAACAGCAGGCATGCCCCCCGAAGACCTCCCAGAGCTCTCCACCCCAAAACGGTTCCTGGGCTCACCCAGGCTCGCCCCTCATCATGTAGTGGAGAACCTTGAGGGTCCCCCAAGTCTGACCGGAGCCTCCCTGCCCAGCCCTGCCCCTGGAGCTGCTGAAAAGCACCACTTCCCCTGGTTCTGGCTCTCACCCGCAGGCCCTGCCAGTCGGGGGATGCCAGCCCCTCGGGCCCAGAGCTGCCCCTTGTGAAAACCCAACTTTCCCACCAGGATCCCTACACTTCCAAGGGGGCATTAAAGCTTTTTGAATTTGTGCTTGGCAAATTAAAACGAGTCCCATAAAACATTAACTAGCCCGTTGGATACTTACGAGAAAACTTAAGAGTCAGCTTTGAATGTCGTTACTTTGGACACTTGTCCTTATAAGTCACAAAAATGTATCTGTGTGTCCGGTTGTGACTGAGGCTGCCTCATCCCCAGGGGGCCGAAGCTGGCCCTTACTGGGAACTGACTTCCTTAAACTTCCTAAACTTGACTGTGCTGGAATTACAACAAAGTAAAAGGCCTTGGTAAAAATAATGACTTGAAAAAGGCCTCCGCCTCCTCCCTTCAGAGCCCACACCCAGGAAGTGGGCTGAGTCTCTTCAAACTACAGTTTCTTGAAAAAGGATTTTCTGCTGCCATTCTGGAATGTTCCCCTTCAGCTCTTCAGGGTGCTCTGAGTTGTTCATCATGATGGAGTTAGATCAGATTCCTGCCAGTTTTGTGGTATGAATTTACCCAAAAGCACCTTCCTATCCTAGGCCAGATGGATCCCCAGTCTTGGGAGGTCCCCTATGCCCCTCAGTGTCAGAATAGTTCAGATAGACAAGAAGAGACCAATAAAGCAAATGCTTGCCCCCCGTCCCCACCCAGCTCCCCAGAAAACAAAAGCTATGTGCACAGTCCCCCTCCGCCCCAGAGGGCCTCCCCTTGCCCCCCCCCATGAACCCCAGTGGGAGGTCACTGTGTCTGGAAGCCCCCATAGAACCCTGCCCATGGCTTGGAAACCTACCTCAGGTGCTGGGTACTGTGTGTTAACCAGTTCTGGGCCACGTTATTTTCACCTGCAAACATAGCTTCACTGCGGAGCGTGGGTGCCTACCCTGGGCCCTGGGCCTGAGGACCCCATGCTGGCAGTGGCCCCATGCCTGGGTGTCGTCTGCCCAACAGTTGTGCTCCCCCACTAGCTTCCGCAATCACCAGCACCTAGCATGCTCAGACTTTGGCTAACCTGACAATAGCTAACGGCCCCCAGAAGGGACCCCAGCAGTGCCTCCCTCCAAGGAGAAGGTGAGGTGGTAATTCTAGGGGGCACCATTGTGCAGAATTCATCAGCTTTGCTAACTGCTTGCCCACACCCCAGCCCCTGCCCTCTACCCCACCCTCCCAACTCCCATATGCTCTGCTCAGTGAGAACCACTTTGTCCCACCATGACTCAGTTCTAGGCTTTTGATTTAAAAGCCATGGGCATGGGAAGGGTCCAGGGGCAGACAAGAGATGTGGGAGAGGGGTGTGGTGGGGATCGGAGTAACTCAGAGAAAAGGCGCTCGGAGCTGGCCTTGGGCCTGGCTTCTCTCAAAGCCCCCTCGGCCACCCCCAGAAGCTGTGCCAGCTCAGCTACAAGACGGACAGGCTCCACAGGGCTGGCCCAGGACAGCACCAACGCTGCACGGCAGGGCTCCCAGGCCACCTGGACAGAGGCATGTTTCCAGAAGGGTCGCCAGACACCGGGGCCAGGTAAGTGGGAGCCTCAGATAAGCGAATAGTGCGTATGCATATGTCCCATGGAGGCTCATGTTGAAGGAGTCTGATGTGGCTGGATCGCACCTTCCCAGCCTGCACCCAGGCCTGGCCTCCTGTCCCAGCAGCTGCGAGCCTCAGGAAGATGGGCCTGGAAACAGTCTGCTGCCCGCAGGAGGTCCTGCCACAGTGGCAGTCATACATCTTGGGGGGCGGGGTGGAGGGGAGCTTTGCCGGGCTCTAGGTGGCCAGAGTCTAAGCTTCCTGGTTTGCATCAAGTCCTGTGAGGCTGACAAGGTCACACTTGAGGATCTTCAGCACCCTCCATGGAAACTCCCACATCCTTCAGGTCCAAAGTCCACCGTCCACCCTGCACTCAGACCTACTGCTGGCAGCTAGGCCATCTGCCACGAAAAGCATATGTACTTCCCCCAGGCCTCAGGGTCCTGGCTTCCAGCAGAGCACCCCTCCCCCAGGGCATCTCCCTCAGGGAGCTCCAGGGACAGACTTGGGTCTGCAGGAGACACAGCAGACCCCAGGGACGGGCATGGAGCAAATGGGTCCTGCCGCTGGGTGGATTTGCTGTTGGTGGGTATTGTCCCTCGGCTCAGCAACCACATAATGTCTCCCTGCAGCCCCCGCTGCAGGTCGGGAGCCCCTGTGGGAGTGCCTGCTAATGCTGGCTCTGGAGGGGAGCAGCATGTGAGAGCATCATGGAAGGAAAAGCCAGGACAAGGAAGCTGGCAGAAGGGGGCAGTGCACCAAGGGGGTGGTGAGGCTGGGTGCAGCCAGCAGCAGCAACTGACAGCTAAGGTGTCAGGGTGAAGGGAAGAGGGAGAAGATCAAGGAAGGGAGGGGAACCCAAGTCTGCATTTGGGGTCCTGACTGCCTGGTTGCAGGGTTGGGGGAAGAGTCCGTAATTCTCAGGTCTCAGGGCCTTGAGAAGGGTCTGACTCTTTAGGAAGATGAATCAGACCGATGTGGTGCTATTGGCTGTGGAGAAAGGGAAGGGGTTCTCCTGCACCCCGTGGTGCCCTGGTGAGGGTTGCATTCCAGCCCCACAAGATGGGATTGCTCGGGTGCATGCTGTTTCTGGAGCAGTCTGTAGAGTCTAACAAGGAGCTGCTGAGGAGCTGTGTACTGTCCATCCTGCCCGAGGAGGCATGACTCAGACCCTCCTGTGGGGCGGGAGAGCAGTGGCCTTGGGAGGCTGTAGCTCCTGCCGTCAGCACCCCTGGGACCTGGGAACAGCACACAGGGCTTGTGCCGGAGGCCGCATGGTGAAGGCAGGGGCAGGGGTGGTGTTCAGCATAGTGGGGCCGAGGCCGGGTGGAGGCAGCAGGCGGTATCGCTGCAAGAGGCCCGCAAACAGCAGGAACAGTTCCGTCCTGGCCAGACTTTCCCCGACACACACACGGCGGCCTGAGGGGGAAGCCAAGGCAGAAATGGGTTCTTCAGACCTGCACTTGACCCACTCTGGCCTGCTATGTGTAGGGGGAGCAGATGCTGGGACTCGGGAGGAGCTGGGGAAGGCTGTTGTCTCCCAGTCCCTGCGTTTCCCAGGCCACCCCTGCCTCCCCCACCTCAAAGCTTCAGCACCTGCAGAGAAAGGCAGGAAGGCCGCCCGATTCACGAAGCACCCGTCAGCGTCCAGGAAGTGACCCGGGTTGAACTGGCCAGGGGTGTCCCACTGAGTCTTGTCCAGAAGTACAGAGCTCAGCAGGGGGACCACGGTCGTACCCTGTGGTAGGAGCAACAGGTAGGCCAGGAACAGTTACCCCACCCACCCAGGTGTGCTCCACCCTGGGAACACAGAGTGCTGGGGGCAGGGGAAGGCCAGGAGAAAAAAGGTAGTCGGGGTGCACCAGTTGTGGTCAGTGTTACCCCATTTCACGTGTGACACTCAGCAAGACCAGGTGACACCCTATGCCTGCTTTACTGAGTTCCAGGTTTTCAGGGCCCTGAGGGGCCAAAGGTGGACCCTTCTCATCTGGAATCCCCTTTCCTGCTTCCCATGACATCAGACTCCCCCAGAGTTCCCAAGACTACCAACCCATCTCTTCCACCCAAAAAGAGGTCCGAGCGAGGAGTGCGGCCCTGCTGCTGGCCCTGTGAGGGAGCGGGCAGCGGGCAGAGCCAGGCTCTATGGGCAGCGGGCAGAGCTGGGCTGTAGGCCCTCCCACCTTGGGAAGCAGATAGCCGCCCAGCCGGGTGTCGGCCGCCGTGCATCGGGGCACGTGGGGCAGAAGGGTGATGAATCGCTGGACCTCGTGCAGCACAGCGTTGGTGTAAGGCAGTGATCGCTGGTCCTCTGGCCGGGGAAGCCGCCCAGGCCCCAACACACGGTCCAGCTCCTCCTGCACCCGACCTGCAGCAGAGGGTGGTTCCAGCGCCCCTGGGAACCTTCATCCCCCCGAATGGGAGGACCCCACCCACTCGCAGGGCCAGCCTCGGGGCAGGGCTCTCACCCTGCACACTTGGGTGTTTGCCCATCAGGAGGGCAGCCCACTGCAGCGTGGCAGAGGTGGTTTCTGTACCAGCCATGACCATGTCCAGGATACAGGCCACCATATCGGTCTCAGCAAATAGGCCGTCTGGATCTTTCCCCTGCAGAAGTGGGTCAAGTGGCTCAGCTGGAGGTTGGGGTCTGTGGGCCCCCACCCAGCCCTGGGCTCAAGACCAAGGTAAAAGCCTGAGTTTTGAGAGAAAGGACCATTAGGAAGGGCCTGATGTGCGCTCACTCCATCTGGGCTCATGGCATCCTCCCAACCGGGGCGGCCACTGGGAATGCCCATTTCACAGATGAGACTGAGGCTCAGAGAGGCCTCTAGTCAGGAGGTAGAAGAACGGGGTGCAGGACCAACAATGACCCCTCCCCACCCTCTATGTCTCCTGGTGGGTGCCTGGGATGCTCCCAGGCCTCCTCAAGGTGGGGGTGGGTCTCCCCCACACCTGGCCCTTCTGCATCAGGGCGTCCATGTAGCTCTGCACAGGACCCCCGGTGCTTGTGGACGGCCGCCTGGCCTGCAGGAGCGTCCTCAAGATGACTCGAACCTCCTCGATCTTTCGCAGCACAGGCTGGTGCAGCTGGAGCATGGCCCCAAGCCAGGGGTAGATGTTGAAGAGCTGGGGGCAGAGGCGGGGTGGGGATGAGGGTGGGGCCCCGCTCCCCCCAGTGGAGTGAATCATTCTTCAGCTAGGTGTGTTCACACGTCCAGGCCCCTCGTACACCCCAGGCACCAGGCAGACATGCCGGGGGCCCCTGGCCCTCCCCGTCGGGCCACTGAGACTTAGATGGAAGCTTCGTGTGGAGCACAGGAGGGGGAAGCACACCTGCCGCTGACCTGAAACCGGGCCCTGCCCCCTCCGCCAAAGCGGGTGGCACAAGACGTCAAAGGGTTGCTGCTGCAGAAATAACTTTAAATCTGCTGCAACTTGTTTAAAAAAAAAAGGCAGAATCTGCAAAATTCTGGGCTGCAGCTCATGCCGGCGTGAGCCACTTGTCTGACAGGTCTGCGCGCAGTTACTGCTCATAGCTGTGACCTCCCTTCCCAGCCACACCTAGCACTGCTGTGTCCCCCTGAACATCATGGGCCCGGGAGCAAATCATGTGAGCTGATCACGGAGCTGGAACATTCCATGGCCCCAGGAGCTGCCCCTGCAGCCTCACTGACCCCTGTGTCTGCACCCTCCGGGGCCCCTGACTGGACAGGCTTGTTCCAGATGGCCGTATCTTCCTTCCCATCAGAGCCCCCCACCTCTGGGCTATGGCCAGAATTAGGACTCCCTTCCGAGGCTCAGGGTCAGGGAGCCAGCCGCAACCCCAACTGCCCACAGCTTCCGGTCAGAGAATCGGGATGAGAAGTGCGTGTGAGCCACGAAGCCACCATAATACACAACCCCCCTAGGATGTGGGCGCCTAAGAGGATGGTAAACTGGCTGACGATGGAAGCTACAGGTGACTTTTCATTCTGGAAACGAGTGACTCACACGCAGCCCAGAGTCTGGCAAACGGAGGAACTGGTTCTTAATGATTTTCAAGGCACTGAGGGCTGGTGTAAGGACCTTTGTCCTGCGAAGAAATGCCCACCTCTAACCCTCACTTTGGAGCATCTGTTGCTGATGGGGAGGTCCAGGGAATGGGAGATGGGAACTCCTGCTTAGGTCCCCTTCATTTCACAGAGAGCATGAGACGCAGGTCTGGGATCTGTGGTCAATCAACGTCAAAGACAGGACGTCCTGCAGGCCCTCTGGATCCAGTCCTGGGCTGCCCACCTCAAGGGCGGGGGTGGTGCTGGGACCCCCACCCAGCCTGCCTCAAGAAGCCAGGGAGCAGCACTCTCTCACCTGTAGGCCAGGGGTCCCCAGCAGGACCATGACCTCATCGATGAGGCCCAGAAGGGACACGAACACAGGGTCCCTGTAGTCGAACCGCTGGCCGAAGAGGAGCGTGAAGGTGATGTTGGAGGGAGCCCAGCCAAGCAGGGTCAGGGGGAAGGGCCGACCTGGCAGATGGGGGACAGAGACAGGCTTCAGGGGTAAAGGCCATCGAGAAGGGGTATCCCCAGCCCTCACTCACCTTCATAGCCATCCAGCTGCCCCATGAGGCACCTCAGCTCTTGCAGAACCTTGTCGGCCACAGGCCCCCGCCCCACACCCAGGCTGTGGAGGGTACGAACGGTGAACTGGCGGGCGGCCCTCCAGTGAGCCCCGGATGAGAAGAAGATGCCTGCAGGCCAGACGATGCCTGGTGAGCACCCACCAGGTGAGGCAGGCAGGGAGCAAACTGGGTGGACCGGGTCGGGACCTGGCTGAAGCCGCCAACTCCCAAGGTTGACCTAGGACTTGGCCCCACTCCTCTCGGTAGGTCCCCAGTTCGCTGCCCCTGGGATACTGCCTGCCCGTGGACACCCTGTATTTCCCTGAGAACCACACGTGCCAGGGGAAAGGACCCTTCACAGTACCCGCACCGCCCCAGGGCCCAGGGCCCAGGCCTGCAGGGCCTCCCGCCCCCGCCCACTTAGCCAAAGCCACTGCCGCTGGCGAGCACCTACCCCTGCCGCCCTGTATGAGCTGGAAGATGGCGATGGGGGGCCGGTCAGCCAGCTCCTGCCCAGTGCCCACCAGGGCCTCCTTCACAGCCTCGTAGCCTGCCAGCACCACCATCTTCTGGCGCCCCAAGTGAACAGTGAACACAGGCCCATAGCGTTCTGAGAGCTGCGGGAACAGGCAGGGATCTGGGGTGGCCCCACTCCCTGGTCCTGGGGCCCCCTTCTCTGGCTACCTCCCAAGGGCGGGGTGAACAAATGCCCTGGTGCCACAGTGCGGAGGGGTGGGGGTACATTTGGCCCGAACACCTCTGGGGAGCAATGTCTCCAGGAAGGTGGGGGTGGCAGTCACAGCTCCTTTTTTGGGGAAGGAAAGTTTGTCTCACCCTGGACAGCCCCACCCAGTAGAAGGCTGGCTGCTAGGCCCTAGTGTGTGCCACCCCTGGACCCAAGGTGGGGGCTGTCACGGCCCTGCGTCACAGATGAGGAAGTGGACGTCTGGAGACAGAGCGAGGGGCTGCTCACCGCGGATGCCGAGGACAGGCTGGGGTTCAACCTGGCTCTGCCTTCCCATCCACTGACCACTGGCCACTAGCAGAGGCCACTGTGGCCTCTGGTGCCAGCACTGGACACAGAGCCCTGAGCGTGGTGCCTGAAGCTTGCTGGGGAAGTTGTTTCAGCTCCGGGCACTGTGTGGGTCCTCAGCTCCCCTGAGTGCCTGGGGCTGTTGCCCTTCTTCCCCACCCGCTGCCAGCAGCCCAGGGCAGTGCTGGAAGCAGAGATCCTCCAGTGAATTGGGTGGGGAAAGGTTGGCTGGGTGGCCTCAGGCGCCAGGGGCTAGGCCTGCACCTCATTTCACCCCTAAGCCAGTCCCAGCCCGAGCAAGGCAGCCTGCCCTCAGCATGGAATGAGGAGCTCCCAGCTACATGCGGATGGCGGCTCTGTGCCCCTGGGGCGCCTCTGAGCAGGCCCTCATTTGTCCATCGTCCTGCCTCTGCCGCACAGCACAGCGATGCTCCCAGGTCTGATGCCACCACGCCTGGCCCCGCAGGCGCCAGCAAGCGCTGCCACCTTCAGGGGGCCCTCCCCTCTGCGGTTCCTGGCCCACAGGCCCTGGGTGGTATATCTGCTTTCCTGTGGCCAGGGGGGGACTTTCGCCTATCTGGGCCCCAGCCAGCCCAGTGCCAGGCTCCTACCCTGCAGGGTGTCAGCCGGCAGCGTTGGACTTCCCCTAAGATGGGCCGGGGTGCCACAGTCCTTACGACTGGGGCGGGGGGGGGGGCCTGCTGGGGGCCCAGCATGCAGGAGCTGAGCTACAGGACCTGTCCTCCCCTTACCTCCATCAGCGAGCGGTCCTGCTGAGACACTCGCAGCAAGTGCAGGTTCCCGATGAGGGGCAGCGGGCGCGGCCCTGGGGGCCAGTGTGAGTCTGGGGAGGGGGCTCGCGTGCAGGCATGCACTAGCCCCCAGAGACCCAGGAGCAGCAGGAGCCCCAGGAGCAGCAGGGCCATGAGCAGGCAGGCACGAGGCCCCAGCTCCCTTTCCTGGGCCCACGTCCCCACCCTGTGCCTTATAGGCCTCTGGGCAGGAGGGCGTGCCAGCACCCCACCCACCCCCACCACCCCGAGAATGTGGAACGAGCAGTTTGCAGGGGACAGCCAGGCAGCTTAAAGCGACAGGCGTGTGTGGAATGTGGGGTCGAGCCTGTGGCAGGGAGCGGGGGTCCAGAGGCCGTCAGGGGGGATGATGTCTGGGCCCTGTGCTGGGGCATCCGCATCGTCCCTGGCCTTGTTGGAGGGGGCGCACTGTGCTCACTGCTGGCCCTTCCCTGCAGGCCGGGGCCCTGTGCCTCTGTCTCCCCATCAGCACGGGGACCTCAGTGCTCTGGGGGCCAGTGTGAGTCTGGGGAGGGGGCTCTGCAGAGAGGAACCTCTGCTCTCCTCATGCTCTGGGTCTCCCTCAGTGGAGCCCCTGTGTGGGGCAGGAGGATCAGGGATCTCCCACGCCCGCCACCGCCTGTGTCCACAGAGGGGAATAACAGATGAGGAGACCGCGAGGGTCTGCCCAGCCAGCAGACACCCCAAATCCCAGGGCCTCTGACGCCAACAGCTCTTCCCCTGTGAGGAACTCCCCCCCAGTGACAATCTCCTCTGTGATTGGAATGGGGGATTGGGGACCCGCCACCCAGAGGGGCCCACTCTGCAGCAGGGCAGGGGCCGGCCTGGCATGCTGGGTGGCGGTGGCCGTGTTTGTTCACAAGCCCCTGTGCCACACTTGGGTCTCCACAACTTGGTGGTCGACTGGGAGGGGTGGAGGTGTCGTTCTGGGGGGCAGGCAGGCTGTTGGCACCAGAAGTGGCTGGGCCTGCTTTGCACCACCTGCCCTGACATGAGGCAGCCAGAACCCCATCCGTGCCGGCAGGGCCCCTTACCACAGGGCCTGTCTCTTGGGGTGTTGTCCATGTCCTTACACAGATCGCAGAGCCAAGGCAGCCTCAGGACCCTGCCCACCTTCCAGACCTGCATACCTCCTGCCACGGGCGCTCACCGTGTCCTGGTGCACGGGTAAGGAACACAGTGGGGCATAGTTGTCTGTCCCCTGCTGAGTCACGTAAGCTGCCTTGGCTTCTGCTGAGCGCAGGCTGGGGGTCCCGTCAGCCAGGACAGCTCACTCGACTGATTCCACATGCTTTAATTGAGCACCTGTGTGCGCTGGGCTCTTCCATGAGCCAGGGGGACAGAAATGGGTGCTGAGGCCCCTAAAAGGGCCCTCACAGATGGGTGGAGAGTCAGTGTGGCAGAGAGCCACAGAGGAACGTTGTGGCAGAGGGCACAGCCTGTGAAAAGCCTGGGAGTTCGAGCAGGCAAGTGGGGGTGGCGAGGGGGAGAGCTGGGCAGGCTGGTCATCACCCCAGAATTCTGTCGGGGGAATCTCACTAGGGCGAGATACTTCTGGTGGCAGGAAGACACAGTGTGTGGGGTCCTGGAGGCAGGAATTTGGGGCCCCTGAGGTGGGGGCTCTGTTTCCTCAACCTTCTCCTTCAGGTGGATGCCAGTAAGCCATGTGGGGCATGAAGCGCAGATCTCAGGGCTGCCAGGTGGGCACAGCGTAGATCCCTCCTTTCAGGAGCACGCATGCTCCCTGCAGGTGGTGTGGCTGGGCGGACTTTCCAGAACCACCTGGCTGAGCCAGTTTCTGGTGCCCTTTGTCTCATCTGCAGGACCCTTTGTCTCCTTCCCATGGCATCAGGATGCAGGTTGGGGGCTGCCTCCATTTTCACAGAGAAGGAAATGGGACATTCCTGCAGCCACTACACTCTGGCTGGTGTCCCTCTGTCCAGCAGGATGAGCACAGTAGTGAAGGGCACACGCTGGGAGCCGTGGTCAGGGTAGCCCTGGACTCTGCCCTTTGTCCTAGGCAGTGTTCCGGCTCTGGGAGCCTAGTCTGCACAGGGGCACCCTGTTCCTAGTTGTCAGCTGGTGCCCAGGATTTAGTACAGACAGAGCAAACAGTGTGTGGCTGAAAGTGGCAAACAGGCCCCTTAGTAGGTGGGACCCAGCCCTGTGGACCAGCCCCAGCGAGGCAAGGCAGGCACCCCAGCTGCAGGAGTCAGTGAGCCGGCTTAAACTTGGGGGAGTGGGGGCATATATAGCCAACAAGGGTGGAACTGGGGGGCTGGCTATGAACCTTTGTGACGACTTGAGTGTCCAGGGCGCCCGGTGACAACTGAGAACCCAGTTTGGGAGCTTTAACATGACAGAAACTTGCTCTCAGTGGAGACCAGATGTCTGTGCGACAGTCGCAGGCAGAGCTGGCTCCACCGAGGTGGAGAGACCTTCACCTTCCTACATCTCCCAGCTTCTGCCGCCCCTGTCCTTGGCTGGTAGCCGCATCCTCCATCTCTGCCACTATTGCCCTGGGCCCTCTGCCTGTGCTCCCCTATTTCTGTCTCTTGGGAGGAAGTGTTAAGCATGTAGCTCCCGAGCCCAGGAAGATCTCATCTCGAGTCCTGACCTCAGTGGTTAGATTGACAAAGACCACATCCAATAGACTACTATATCCGAGCTAGTTTGGATACTTGTCTACTAAAATAGACAACAGACACACGCAGGTAAGGCCCAGAAGTCCAGGAAACACCTGCAGTGCAGGACGGGCCCCTTGCCCCAGTTCGTTCCAGGGATACGTGGCACCATCATGTATGTGACTTTGCTCTTATATCTTTATTCACATGCAGCAAATGGGGCAAGTTCAAGCAGACAGTTGTTTGCGTTTCGATGTTTACATTTATGCAACTTTGCCCCCCTGCCAGAGTGAGCCTCTCCATGAACTTCAGATCCCCTCCTGCCCCTGCACACCTCCCTCCTCTGAGGGGACAATGTGACTAGGGTCATTCGGCAGCCCCCCATCCTCTTAAGCATCACTTCTTCTCTGGCATGGCTGGCCTCCCCACTGTTTCAGATCTCATGGAGTCACAAACATCCTGCTAAAATATCTGTCTACACTTGCAGCAGATGATGTCAAATACATCCTTAGAATGGAGCTGGAAAAGATCATGCTTAGTGAGATAAGCCAGAAAGAGAAAGAAA